GCCTGGAGCATCTCTTTGCTGCCTATGGCCAACCATAGTGATTGAGAGTGATCAGGGCACCCATTTTACTGGACATACACTGCAAGAATGGGTATGACAGCTGGAAATCAAGTGGAAGTTTCATGCGCCATACAATCCTACCGCAGCAGGCATGATAGAGAGGCACAATGGCTTGTTAAAATTTGGACTGAAGTCAGATACCAATAGTCTGCGGGGATGGTCAGTCCGCTTATGGACTGTACTGTGGTGTTTGAATGAGAGACCCCGAGAGGGGACTTTGAGCCCCATACAGATGTTAAGACATATGGATGCCTCCCCCATACAACTGCAAGTACAGACCAAGGAAGAATCACTGAAGCTGAGGTTTGGCCACCAGAATAACATCTTGCTGTCAGCACCAACTGCACTGAACCCCGGAGACTCCATTGAGTGGACGTGGCCTTGGACCCTTTGACACAGGGACCAACGATGGCTGACTCTCCTGACGCCTTGGGGACAAGGCCTGGAAGCTGGCCTCCTGTGTATTCCTGGAATAACAGCAGAGTGTCCGCCAAAGGTCACAGTAGTACACCCTGAACGGCCAGAAGGTAAGAGCATCTTACCGGGGAGTTGTATTTTATCATTATGGCCAGTGCATGCACCTGCAGGAGCACTATATATAGACCCCTCAGTAACCCCTGTGGGGAAAGGAGTAAAAGTATGGTATACTAGACCTGGAAGGGACCCCCTTCCTGCTACAGTCCTATCACAGGACCACTTTCTTGCATGCATCCTACCTGATGGACAAGATTTGCCTATGTTGATGGCATTAAAACATGTGTCTTATCGCCCTGAAGTCTTTGTGGATTGGGAACTTCCTCTGGCTTGAGGATTATTATAGTTTTTGTTATTAGGAACCTCTCTGGCTTGAGGATTATTATAATTTTTGTATCAAAATCTTGCTGTATCTTAATTTTTATTATTTCTAGGTTGTTGTTATCCTCCGTTGCTATTGTGGAATCTGGTTGCAGTGCTCCATCTTTCTTGCACAGGGACCACTGCAGAAGATTGAAAGTGTATAGATTGTAAGGTGAGAATCCTGGAGGGGTGGAGTGTGGGGAAGTTGGGGTTCCTATGGCCAGGATCCTCACTGAACTTAAACCACCTGATGATGTAACTGGCCTGTTGCTGGGCTGCCGCTTCCACACTTGTAGGCAGTAAGCTATTATTGTGCTATATAGAGAGCTCGGCCTGGTGCTCTGCTGGAGGCAGACACGCTAGTGCTCAACCTACCACTGGAGAGCAAGCCGGGTAATAAACCCTTTCACCCCAAAGAAACGTTCTACTGTCATTTATTTGGTCACACTGAATCCATAGCGAACTTGCCCGGGGCTGAAACCCATTGGCAAGACAACTAGCCACACTGGGGAATTAAAAGGATTATGAGTGGGCTTTATGATATCCACTTTCTCCAACTCCTGTAGAGTTTCTCCAATTTCCTTGTGCTCCCCAGGCAATTTATACTGCTTAGTATTTGTCACCTGTGCAGGTACAGGCAGAGCTATAGTGGGTACTCAGCATGTCTCTTCAGATCTACATTTGGCACATGTACCCTCAGTCTGAATGTACCTGCAGTGTTCTGTAACCACAGGCCCTGCAGAATATCTACCCCCAAAATAGATTCAGGGATGGGAGAAATGCACACAGTGTACTCTTTGGGGGTAAGTGTCCTATGCCCAATGGGATTTGGCCTTTCTTCACTCTAATTGCTTTATCCCCATAGCCATATATCACAGCATGTGTCCTGAGAATACAATCAGGGTTGCCATAAACCTGAGAAAACTCACCTCCTGTATCCGCCAGTGCCAGGACATGTGTACATTTACAGGGTACCAAAAATTGCTAATTCTACAGTGGTCTCCAGTCCCTACCATGTCCCCCATGGTGGAGACCTTGACACCACCCTCAGTCAAACCATGATGCCCAATAGTCCTCCTGTGGGGGTGAGGGCCCAGGCAAATTCTGAGTACCATGCCCCAGGAAATTTTGCAGGGACACAGGCTGGGCATGAGGCCCTGACTCCAGTTTCCATGTCCTGGACCTCAGTGGCTACAACTGCTGCTCTGGCTTTAATTGTTGCCACAGTTCTAACAAGATCCTATTGGGCTGCCCATGAAGTTTTTCTTTCCCTGGTCTTTATCAAATCAACCACATCTGGGTCTTCAAGACCTTCACAGGGCCTTTCGTATCTCTCCTTTCAGTCGTAGCCTGTAGTTCCTCCCATGCTCTTATTGTTTGAATCACCAGCTGCTAAGCTATGAGTAGCCTCAGTCTTAGGTTTCACTATGTGGGGGGCAAGAATAGTCACTACGGACCCAAGGAGAGATAGGGAAGCTGTTTGGAGCACCAGATTTCTCATTCCTATGGTGAACAACAACTCAATGGGACCATGGAGGTACATATTATAGATGATATTATTCATGTCCAACTCCCATGACACCTGCTGGAGCTCTGCATACATTTTCCAGCTAGTGGGTAAGTATGGTAAATCAGCTTGATAAGGCCAGACTACCCTGATGGCAGCTGTCAGCCATTCCAGAAGTGTCTGATTCCCTGAGGCATGATGGGCATTTTGCAACTACTGCTGGAGGGAAGGGGAAGTCATAAGGGAAGCCATTATACTCATTTCAGTACCTGACATAATATTTTCAGTCCCCATATCCCAGAGACGTAAAAGCCATGTAGGCAGAGATTCCGATGGCTTCTGTCTATACTGGAGGCTCATATCCACGAACTCATTCTGGTATAGGGACAGAGCATGGAGTGTTCCACAACCTGGGGAGGGGGTGATGTCTCCCCCTGAGGAGCCAGCAGTTGTTTTGTTTTAATTTTCTTAATTACAGCCAGGTGGGTCTTTAATACAGGAGAGGCTGGTAGCTTGGGCGGTGGCCTTGGCAGCAGATTGGCCCATGGCCCTGTCTCCTCCTCTTCTCCCCAATCCCCCAGTTAATCCACTATCTCTGGGGCTAAAGGCACCACTCTTTCTCCCCCTCTTCCATGGCCTTCTGCAACGTGCCTTTTCCTGCCTCCTACCCTCTCACCACTGCTAAGGAATCTTCCAGGAGTGTGACCTGTCTTTTCAATAACTGTCTCTCTTCCTTAACAGCATCCCATAGGCTATCACCCAGCTCCTCCAAGCAATGCTGAAGTGTGTGTCTCTTCCACCTAATTCCCTCTCTCTCCTTGCTATCCCTCTGTATAATCTTCAGTTTCTCCTTGATAACATTTTCCACTATCTCGATGAAAAGAGACCCTACAATGCCAGCTGCTACATGGCCACTTAGTGTCTCTAAGCAACCTTCTAACCCACAGAGGGCTAATTCTGTAGCTTCCAGTGTCTTCACCCTTCTCCAGTTCTGGAGAAGGCCCCACCCCTCTAGGAGGTATTTTATCCTAGACCAATTTCCCAGTAGGAGCTCCCAAATGGAAGCCCCACATATGTGGGGACAGTAACAGGTGAAGCTGCACCCTCTGCTGCTGCATCCACTGGGACCTCCCCACCATCCCTCAGGTGTTCTGGACATCTCCCCACCATCTCTAGGGGCTGCCCTCCCAAAAGTTGCACCCATTTAGACATTTCGGGTTCAGAGATCCTGCCAGCTATGCCAGTTGTAACTTGGGGGGAGAGGAAATCCTGGGGCAAAATACCTCTAAAACCAAAATCAGTCAAAGGGAGAAATAAAGTTTAAAACCCATTTATTGCTTACAAACTGTGGTCTGGGGCCCTTTCTCTTTCCTGCTTCAGCAGAAGCAAGCAAGACCTCTCACCAACCTCTCAGGTTCAGATAAGGCCTCTGTCACCCAGGTAATTATCCATCAATATGGAGATGAACTACTTCTTTCCACCCCTTAGGAATGCCTGTTCATATGGAGATTCACTAAAGACAGGTGAGATATTCTGGAATATTATAATTTTACCCACAAGCCCAAATAAGTGAAGTCCAGAGTCATTGGCTGGCTTGGGCCCATCACCCTGCAGAATGGATTTGGTTTCCCTAAGATGCAATCATATTACTTGAACAGATTAACTGCATCTGGGGACAAAAATGATCATCTGCTTCCTTAAGAGAAACTCAAGATAGAGAATTAGGGAAAATAATTCCTGTGATTATACTTTCATTGTGGGCAGGGTTCATCCCCTGGTGAGAGTCCAGGTGTGCTCCAGGTGGGAGGGGATATTTATGAGCTCTAACTCTGTGCCAAATCAATGATTGGTAGTTGTATTTCATGGTTTTATAATCCCCAAATTTGTGAAAAGTTCAATTGTTTGGGCTTGCCCCAGGTCAAAATTAATAAGTGGCATATATAATAGGTAGTACATTTAAGGTATTAGGGAAAAAAAGATCTTTGTCAGGCCAGAATACACTTGTAAACCAGCAGCTGAGATGCAGTAGTCCTGAGGTAGACCCTGATTTTACTGCATTATCAGTTTAGATGAGCAGATTAGGGGAAGGAAATTCACAGCTGCCTTGAGGCTGAAACTTGCAAGGTCAACCTCCATTTAAAAAATAAGGGCCCTACCCTTGCTTCAGGGGCCATCACTTTCCTTTCTAGTAAGCCTGAGTATGTCTGGTGAAAAATAACTATGAAAGTTGTACCAAATCCATATTCATTTTCCTCCTTAAGTATCTTAGATTCCTTCATGAATGTGTTTTTCTTAAAAGGACCCTTTCAGAATTCACATTTTTTATGGTTTTTATACAAAAAGGTTTGGTGTTAAAGAGAACACACTGATGCCTTTCCACCATGGCCCCATTCAGCTAATACAAGAGGCTAGTAAACTAGGTGCCAGGCTGATTCCACCACCCTTGTTGTAGCCTGCAAAGCCGAGAATCATTTACTATCTGGCTGATTCTGTAATGTTTGCTGACCCCTGAGTTATCCTGTCCTCTGCCTTAGCGTAACTTTTAGGTCATTCTGTACCTGAGCTGGTTGGCATGTAAACAATTAGCACAAATGGATGTTTGTAAAGAATCATTTATTCATCTAAGATTTTCATTCATTATTATTGTCTTTCCATTTTTTGTCACCTTTCATGACAGAATAAATTAGTAAAGATTTTACAGAATGGGTATCCCACTCAGAGCACTCCATCATTCTGTTTGTTTGTCTGGGCTGGGATGTTTTTGACACTATTCACATCCTCTTGCTCAAATCACAAACGAACACATAATTGCACCCATGCAGGGAGCTCTGAGCCAGGTTCCCATTGTACAACTTTCTTCTCCAAAGCAAACTCTCCATGAGGGCCTTCAGCATTTGACGGCAAAAGGGCCAAGTACACAGGGGTCTCTGCTCCTTCTTCTAGGCTTTTCAAGGCCTCGGGTCCCCCCATGTCGGATCTCACCCATCCAGGGCAGCAGGCATTCAAAAGGATCCTGTCCCCACTCTTCTGCTCACTCAGTTTCCTGGCCTGGATTCTGGACAGGACATTGATGCCGAGCTTTGTCATTGCATAGGCAGCGAATTTCTGATGAGGCCAGCCCTCCTTTTGGTGGACACTGTTCCTTATATCTTTCACAAACTTGTTCATGAGCCCCACCAGCTCCTCCTCTGTGATGGTATCACTTGTAAACTTCCGCTGTAGTTCTGGGCTGCAGCATTTAAGAGCTAACAAGCTCAGTGTGCTAGAGAGATTCACCACTCTGCCTGAAATTCATAAGATATCATTCAATAGAAGGGCATGCACAAGAATGATAAAACCAGATGTGGTAGGATTTTTTCCCTTGAGAGGCCATTACCAGCTGCTGTATTAAAGAAGACTGCCTGTATAAATAAAGGATATGATGCATGCTTGAAACTTGCCATAACCATAAATTTCAGGTGTTAGGAAATGTTCTCATGGGAGGGAAGTGCACAGAAATTCCCAAAGAAAATGAAAAGTGTATAATGAACATGCTAAGGGATGTAAGGAGATGCTCATTCCATTAATGAGAAGACAGATTCATTCCCCCTAAGGCTAAACTAAACATCAGTGAGTTGAATAGTTTAAGTGTGTGCAGTGGACAGTATGAGAATTATATCTGAATAAAGTATTGAAAGTATAAAGCAAAGAAGTTTCTCACTAATAGTTTTGGAAAATATATTAGGTATTTGTAAAGATGAATTTATATTAATGAGTTCACAATTTTAAATTTTAAATAAATTTGTAAAATATTATAACAAGGTCATGAGAGATACTACCAAAGAGAGACAAGGAAATTAGGAAACTATCCCTTTTTATTGTGCATATCTAAGGAAGTCTGTCACCTTCAGATAACATTGACCTCCATCTTGCTTAAGGAGTGGAGGTGCAAAAAAGATAAGTAAAAATGATAATCCATGGCAATAAGATCCACATTAAATAATCCTTAGAGACACTTACAGTGAATGACAGAAACAGTCTTATTTATTCCCAAAAGTCTTTTAAGATGAGTAATTTAGAGCCAGGTCAATGTTTTGAGTACTTCCTTTAATGTAGATCATGTAAACTATAAGAATCAATTGAATCTATGTGTCAAATGTTGCAGAAAGCACCACTTGGAGGTCCTAATAGAATTTTTATTACTTTATAAAATACTTTCTAGCCACTCAGAGAAAAACAGTACATGTGTCATGACTCAAAATTGCAAGCTACTAGAGGGGATATAGAGAAAAAAAAACACAGCAGGAGAGTTAGCCGGAGCAGGTGACTGGAAGAGGAGAATGCAGCTGCAATCACAGACTCACCCCAATTTCCCCCATGCCTTTAGTCTAGGCAGGAGATGGAGAAACTCTAGCAACTCTCTCTGGGCTGTTTATACTGTATGAAGTAGGGATGACCTCTTCTCTATTTGGTATCATCCATCCCAGGAGGTCTAAACCAGCTGTGAAAACACTTGTCAGTGTGCACTGGGGAAGCCTGAACTGGGAGGCCACAGGGCTTTGTGGGTAAATTCCTAGATGTGGGGCTGCATCCAGGTCTCTCTCCCTCCAAGCTTTTCACCCCACTGGTCATGCTCCCAAGAGGGACAGGGGAGCCTTCTGGGTTACACAGCAGGAGTTGCATCCAGATATTTTTCTCTCTGGAGTGGGTTCATGGCCGCCACAGGGCATTTCATAGACACTCTACTGGCCTGAGCAGAGCCAATCCTCCACGAAGCACTATGGGCCGTTCAGGCATTATTTTGCTACTGTGTGTGTGTGTGTGTGTGTGTGTGTGTGTGTGTAAAGCAGTTGCCTTTTAATGATGGAGGAAAATGAGGGATACCGATTTAAAAAGGACAGTTTTTCTGGTGGACTTATACTTGATGCAGGCCATCTATTTTATTGGATCAATATAGTTATTTTAGGGAAGCCACATTTTCCTTCAAAATTGTAAGTAAATGGAAACACATTGGTTCCCAATAGGTTGAGTCCCTCCACGGACTGACCTTCTGGACTGCTGGGTGAGGTTACACTTGACAAATGAGACTCTTGGCATAAGAGATTTGAGGACCTTGGAATACTTGGAAGAGCAATCAGGTTGGAGACCACACGTCCAAGTCTGCATCTGGCTGTGCACGTGACCTTGAGATCCTTTGAGACCCCATGTCTTTTTCTGGACCGTATATAAAATGCCCAGCCCGCTGCATCAGGATGTATCCACCCACCCATCCTTCTAAACCACAAATTGTCACAAGGGGAAGAGAGCTTTAGCAATGTGATTTTCATCCCAGCTTCCTCCTGTGAATTTTTCAGACCACAGGAAGTTGAAAAGCTGCCCTTCTCAAACCAAAGTTCATCACAACTTCTTCAAAGGATTACGTGGTAAGTGTAGCCTTAAGAAGGCCATTTATTTCCTCTTAGTACTCCTTAAGCTAATAATATCTCATTAACGTGAGTGTCCAGATTTCAATGTTGGTATTACTTAGAGATATTTTCCCTTATATTTTCAAAATAAATATATACTGTAATTCAAAGAGGAAAGATGAACACTTAGCATCGTTCTTCAAATTCATGGTGATGGTGACTTTAGGTGAACAGGGAGGATGTGGATGGATTGGTTAAGGTCCATTGTGGGTACCTGGGTGTTGTAGATTCTTACATTTTATGTGGTAAATTTTTTCAGAATTCCTCTTGTTTAAAAGAAGGGAAATAATACAAAGAAATCCACATGTATTCTCCCTCAGTGATCCTTAAGCTCCCCAGTCTCTACCCTTTATTCTTTTGCCATCAAAATACAGACAGAACAGTCCTCTTTTGGAAAGTTTCTACTGACCTCAGAGATTCTGTGGAAACCCTTCCAATGCGCTATGCACCTTTGGTTCTGGTGTGGTGGGAGAGGTGCAATATTTCCTTGTGGTTTCCCTAGATGGGATTTCTCTCAGATTCTCTAACAAAAGTGAGCTGATAAAGTCATGATTCCATGAACCAATGTGTCTGCCTTTCTCCTGAAATAATAGCAGAACTCTCCTATTTCAAAAATATAGAAAATCTTGCTCTAATGCAGAGAAAGTTGCATGAATATCCATTTCCACTATCTCCCGCTTTAGAGAGGCACTGTTGATCCTTTCATTTAAGGCTAACTTAGCAGATCAGGAGTGCCATCTGTCCTGCACCTGGGACAAGGACAGAGCCTGCAACAGCTCACACACTTCAGTTAATGAAACAAAAATGGGCCAGAAGTCCTTAGTATGCATTTTAACAGGAATACACATAGGATGTGTGGTTGTGGCACAAGGAATTCCATCCTGCTCTCAGGTGCTGGGGTGAATGAAAGAGTCAGGGTGCCATTCAAAAGAGCTGCACTTTGAGGCCTGACTGAGTCAAATCGTAAAGATACAGTAGAACTTTCCCAGAGGACAGTACAGGGAACTGGGCAGAATTCAGAATAGACTGTACATGCATATTGTCAATTCCAAGCCAGACCTCTTAATCTTTCTAAAAGTGTGTGCTCATATTATTTGGTGTGTTGAAGGGGTAGTGTTTCCCCAACACATCCCACACCTTGGGGTAGGTGGTGCAGGAGGTCACCTCCAGAGTAACATGATAGTCTGTTTTGCATAGTCTATTAGTCCTGGTAAAGGAGAAGTAACACCGGCCTGGACAAAGGCAGGTCAGATGAGAGAGAGACCTACAAGCCATGCTGAGGGCCTGGACTTTGCTCCTAAAGCACTTTATGGAGGGAGTAAGCATGCAGAGTACAGAGAATGCTCAGGAAGGAACAGCCTCAATAGGAGGGTCCCTTATTGGGGTTCCAATTGCCTCAAATGACATCTGAGCATCTGTTGTAGAGCTGGGGGAGGAGGTCTGGGGAGAAACTCATGTGGCTAATTCTGGGGTCTGGTTAATGATAGTAGGAGTTGGTTATGGTGAGCTCTAGCATCCGAGGGGGTGGATCAAGACAGAGTCCAAAGGTTTTAGGAAAGGATGAGTGTATTTTGAAATGTATTATGTAAGGAGGACTCTAGGGAAGGGGTGGACGTCAGGACAATACTGACTGACAGTAACAGATAATTGAGTGTCAGGAGCTCTGGATGTGTTCTAGGCAGCTGACAGGGTTTTGGAAGGCCTAAGAAATTGGGGTGGAGAAGGCTCCGTTTGCTGGAATAAGATCACACTAGGGACAGGCGGGGAGGGCAGAGGGCAGGAAGCCATGCTCAGGGACCTGCAGGAGTGAGGGGCGGGGAGCAAGTGAAGGGCCTGTCGGGACAGCTGGACTGAAGAGTCGAAGAAGAGAAAGAGGCGGTTGTGCCACGGAGAGAAGCACCGATGGCCACTGACGAGTGTGTAGTCCTGGGAGAGGGGCCCCTGGCCCTGAGGAGACACACCCCGGGGGCCAGTGTAACAGAGCAGGGAGAGGGGGCCGTGCTGGGGACGAGGTCAGGGGCAGCGGGGCCCGATCCTGCCAGGGACACTCCGTGGGGGCTGCTCACCAGACTCACCTTGGGGTCTCACTAGAGGCAGCAGCTCCGTGCAGACGTCTTGGGTACCAAAAAAGTTGGTTTTCATAGTCATTTCTGCTTGAAAATGTAAGCTTGTGCGATCATCTGTTCTTCCAGGAGCAAGAGAACAGAGTTACTAAGTAGTAGCCATGTGGGATAATTCTGCAAATGATAGGCTATTTTCTTGTCTGTGAAATGTGGTCAATGATATGTAAGGTCTGAGTTCTGATAATAGTATTGTGTGAAGGTCAATTTCCTGGCTCTTTAAAACTACAAAGTGTGTAAGTTGGCACCATTAGAGAAGGCTATGAGAAGTGTGCAGAATGGGATCTCTGTGTGTCATTCTTTTCAATTTCTTGTTTATTTTAAAGTAAGTTAAAAATTTACCAAACTGCTCCCCAGTCCCATTAACAGAAACTACAGACACGTGGGGGAGGCCCTAAGCGTTGGCTTCATGATAATACAAAGATCCTTTGCCTGAAAGCCTTGTACATCTTGGACGATTCAGGTGCCTCTGACGCCCGAAGTGTAACGTCTTTCACTAGGGAGCCCGTCTGGATCCCGCAGGAGGTACAGGCCCCACAGTGGCTCAGGAGAATCCCCAGCCCACCCTGGCTGGACACCCTCACAGAGGGGTCCCTTTCCAGCACCCACCCCTTCCTTACCCTTGAAGGCGATGCCCGCGTTGTTGACCAGCACGTTGAGGCCCCCGTACTCTTTGAGCAGGAAGTCCCGCAGGGCCCGGATGCTCTGCCGGTTGCAGATGTCCAGCAGGTGGAAGCGCGGGCTCAGGCCCTCGGCCTGCAGCTGCTGCACAGCCGCATGACCCTGTGCTGCATCCCGCGCCGTGAGCACCACGTCCCCCGAGAACTGCTGGCACAGGCTTCGCACAATGGCCCAGCCAATGCCCCTGTTGGCCCCAGTGACCAGGGCCACTCGGCTGTAGGATGTCATGGCTGGGCTGTGTGGGGCTGATGGCGTTGGAGGCGGCCGAAGAGGTTGAGGGGACAGTGTTACAGTGGCCTGGCCACAGTCTAGACAACCTGCTTTATAATGACTTCTGGGAGGCAGTTGTCATTCCCAGAGAAAGAAGCCCCGCCTGAGTCCCTCCCTGCCCAGGAGGAGCCAAATGCGGCAGGACAATTCTCACTGCCCCCTCTCTTGGTCTCCCTCTCTTTGTGCCAAGAAATGGCCCTGGGTTAAGAGGTGTGCTTCCCCAAAGCAGCACAGGTTGGCGAGGGCTCAGTAGCACGGTGAGAGGGCAGGGGAGGGACCCCTGGGGAGCGGGAGCAGAGTGATGGCTGGGTCGGGCCCATCCCCCTTCAGAGTGGGTTTGCTTGCTCTTCCCCAAGAGGCAATGAGGTGACTTGGGCCTGGGAAGCGGTTCTGAGGACAGTGAGCCCCGAGCTTCGTTAGGAAGAGAGAAACTCAGGAGACAGAGTTAGGGACAGTGGGTCCTGTGATGGGACGTGTGCTGTGGACGGGGCTGGTCCCCCAGTGTGAGCCTAGGTGCCCCCAAGTGGCAGGGAATATGTATGAGCTCTGCCTGGGTACTAAGCCGCTGACTGGAATGTGTCATTTCATGGTTGCATGATCCCTACGTTTGGTAAACGTCCAACCTTTCCGTTTTGTTGCACGTCCAACTTAATAAGTGTTATGTGTAGTTAGGTGGTATTTTTAGTGAATTAAGGGGTAAAGTCATTTTTGTGGGACCTGAATACATACATGAGCAAGGTAGTGTTGGATCTGCCCAAATGCGAACGCCACCCCAATTCACTCACGGAAGACGTCTCTTGATGCAACAACCAAGAGGACTTTATTCAGGAACCAGCTAGCTGGGGTCCAAGTGTCAGCCTGATGCAGCGGGTTTCAACAAGGACCCCGAGCACTCAAATCCAAGGGTTTATATAGCATTTTCAAAACACTTAACTCATAGTAATTTTCCACAGCTGCACATTATTCTTGCAAGACATACATCCTGGGTTAGGCGAGAGCAAGAAAAGACAACTCCTCAATTGTCAGGGAGGTTCTGCACAATAAGCTTGGTATGTAAGATTAGCTGACCAAGGTTAGCTGACTAAAGGCCACAGCTGCCCACCACCTGGTGTTCATGATTAACTTGTTTTTCAAGGCCTTACCCAGTTCCAGTTTTTCTTTCTAAGTCACATACTCAGAAAATGGCTTCTAGGTTCGTAAGATGGCTACGCTTATGCTAACCTATTTCTATTCTCTTTTAATGCTTAGATTCTACAGTAGCACTTGTGATCAGGTGTTGATATGGACATACACATTCTTCCCATGGCAATGCAGAAAAGTAAATTAAGAGGAAGGAACTTAATTCTGTGGAGGTGACACTTGGTAAGGTAACTTCCCTTTTAAAATAAGGGTCTTGCCTTATTATGACAGCCGTCATTTTTTATTTCCATACATCTGAAAATCACTGTTGAAGAGTGAAAATAATCACGAGAGCAGAGGCGTCTTTTAGTCTCTTTTTGGGTGCTTCTGTGAAGGAGGGCAGTGGGGTGCCCTTCCCGAGGCCCAGAGGGGCTGGACTTGGTGGGGGGCAGGGAGCAGCTCCCTGTCACTGCCCTGCTGTGTTAGGGCCATGCCCAGGCTCTCACATTATCACACACTTTCCCTTCCCATGTGCTTCCAATGTTTGCATCTGTGTCCCTGCATTTAATCTTCACTGCACTCCTACAATCATCCTGCCCATTTTCCTTTGTCCTTTTATACTGAAATATAGTTTGATAAACAATATTGGTTTAAAAAATACAGTATAGTCATTCAACTATAATCCATGTTATTAAATACTCACCCAACTAATGTAGTTACTATCTGACAACATAGAAAAATGTTACAGAGCTATTGGCTGTATTCTCTGTGCTATATTCTTTTTCATTCCCATGACTAATCTAAATATGATTTGGATTTTGTGCCTCTTTATCCCCTTCATGTATTTCACCCACTTACCTCAGTCTCTCCCCCGTGGTAACCACCTGTCACTTCCCAGTGTCTTTAAGTCTTTTTCTGTTTTTTTTCATTTGTTTCATTTTGTTCATCTTTTCCCATGTTTGTAAAATCATAGGTTATTTGTATTTCTCAGCTGGCTGATATAACATAGCATAGTCCTGTCTAGGTCCATCCATGTAGTTGCAGATGGCAAGAGTTCCTTCTTTTTATGGCTGAATAATATCCCATTGTGTCTATGTAACACCTCTTCTTTACCCAATATCTATTGATGGATGCCTTGGTTCCTTCCATATCTTCGCTAATGTAAATAGTACAGCCTTAGACATAGGAGTGCATATTTACAAATCAGGGATTTAGTTTTCTTCCAGTAAAATCCTAGAAGTGAAATTACAGGGTCTTTGGTGTTTCTAATTGTAGTTTTTGTATGAACCGCCAAATTGCTTTCCATAGAAGCTGGAGCCACTTACACTCCCACCAACGTGTATGAGGATTCCCTTTTCTCCACATTCTCACCAACATTTGCTTTTCTTATCTTTTGAATAGGGGCCATTCTGACTTATGCGAGTTGATATCTTACTGTGATTTTGACGTGTATTCGCTTGATGATTAGCGATATGGAATGTCTTTTCATGTGCCTGTTGGCCACCTGTATTTGTTCTTTGCAAAAATGTCTATTCAGGTTCTCTGCTAATTTTTTGTATTGCGTTATTTGATATATATGATGTGAGTCATACAAGTTCATTATGTATTTTGTATACTAGCCCCTTATCAGATATATCATTTGGGGGCTACTCTCATACATATGTTCCCTTTTTGTTTTGTAGATGTTTTCCTTTGCTCTGCAGAAGCTTGTTTTTTAAAAGTTTTTATTAAGGTATTATTGATATACACTCTTATGAAGGTTTCATATGAAAAAACAATGTGGTTACTACAATCACCCTGTTATCGTGTCCCTCCCACACCCCATTGCAGTCACTGCCCATCAGTGTAGTAAGATGCCACAGACTCACTATTTGCCTTCTCTGTGCTACACTGTCTTCCCCATGATCCCCCCCATACCACGTGTGCCAATCATAATACGCCTGAATCCACTTCACCCTCCCTTCCCCACCCCTCCCCTTTGGTAACCACTAGTCCCTTCTGGGAGTCTGGGAGTCTCTTGCTGTTTTGTTCCTTCAATTTTGCTTCGTTGTTATATTCCACAAATGAGAGAAATCATTTGGTACTTGTCTTTCTCTGCCTGGCTTATTTCACTGAGCACAATGTCGTCCGGCTCCATCCATGTTGTTGCAAATGGTAGGATCTGTTTCTTGTGGCTGAATAGTATTCCATTGTGTATATGTAACACTCTTCTTTATCCATTCATCTACTGATGGACACTTAGGTTGCTTCCATATCTTAGCAATTGTAAAAAGTGCTGTGATAAACATAGGGGTGCATATGTCTTTTTGAATCTAAGAACTTGTATTCTTTGGGTAAATTCCAAGGAGTGGGATTCCCAGGTCAAATGGTATTTCTAGTTTTAGTTTTTTGAGGAACCTCCATATTGCTTTCCACAATGGTTAAGCTAGCTTACATTCCTACCAGCAGTGTAGGAGGGTTCCCCTTTCTCCACATCGTCACCAACGTTTGTTGTTCTTAGACTTTTCGATGCTGGCCATCCTTACTGGCATGAGGTGATACCTCATTATGGTTTTAATTTGCATTTCCCTGATGATTAGTGATGTAGAGCAACTTTCATGTGTCTGTTGGCCATTTGAATTTCTTCTTTGGAGAACTGTCTCTTCATATCCTCTGCCCATTTTTTAATTGGGTTATTTGCTTTTTAGGTGTTGAGGCATTTAAGTTCTTTATATGTTTTGGATGTTAACCCCTTGTTGGATATGTCATTTACAAATATATTCTCCCTTACTATAGGATGCGTTTCTGTTCTGCTGATGGTGTCCTTTGCCATACAGAAACTTTCTAGTTTGATGTAGTCCCATGAGTTCATTTTTGCTTTTGTTTCCCTTGCCCGAGGAGTTGCATTCAGGAGGAAGTTGCTCATGCTTATATTCAGAAGATGTTTGCCTATGTTGTCTTTTTTATGGTTTCATGACTTACATTCAGGTCTTTGATCTATTTTGAGTTTACTTTTGTGTATGGGGTTAAACAATAATTCAGTTTCATTCTCTTACATGTAGCTGTCCAGTTTTGCCAGCACCAGCTGCTGAAGAGGCTGTCATTTCCCCATTTGTATGTCCATGGCTCCTTTATCATATATTAATTGACCATATATGGTTGGGTTTATATCAGGGCTCTCTAGTCTGTTCCATTGGTCTAGGTCTGTTCTTGTGCCAGTACCAAATTGTCTTTACTGTGGCTTTGTAGTAGAGCTTGAAATTGGGGAGCATTATTTCCCCAGCTTTATTCTTCCTTCTCAGGATTACTGTGACTATTCAGGGTCTTTGGTGGTTCCATATGAATTTTAGAACAATTTTCTCTAGTTCGTTGAAGAATGCTATTGGTATTTGGTAGGAATTGCATTGAATCTGTAGATTGCTTAAGCAGGATGATCATTTTGACAATGTTAATTCTTCCTATCCATGAGCACGGGATGTGTTTCCATTTACTGGTATCTTCTTTAATTTCTCTCACTAGGGTCTTGTAGTTTTCAGGATATAGGTCTTTCACTTCCTTGGTTAAGTTTATTCCTAAGTACTTTATTCTTTTTGATGCAACTATGAATGGAATTGTTTTCCGGATTTCTCTCTCTGCTAGTTCATTGTTAGTGTATAGGAATGCCACCGATTTCTGCATATTAATTTTGTATTTGGCAACTTTGCTGAATTTGGATATTAGATCTAGTAGTTTTGGAGTGGACTCTTTAGGGTTTTTTATGCAAACAGGGACAGTTTAGCTTCTTCCTTGCCAATCTGGATGCCTTTTATTTCTTTGTGTTGTCTGATTGCTGTGGCTAGGACCTCCAGTACTATGTTGAATAGAGTGGGGAGAGTGGGCATCCTTGTCTTGTTCCCAATCTTAAAGGAAAAGCTTTCAGTTTCTTGCTGTTAAGTATAATGTTGGCTGAGGGTTTGTCATAT